CCACAGGCGGGGGCTGAGGTCTGGAGAGTCACCGGCCCCACCCGCCCCCGCTCCCCCCTGCAGACCGAGGTCAAGTGCAGGAAGGTGTTTGTGGGGAAGGGTGGCAGATGTGCTCACCTGGTGGCCGCCTGGCCTGGGACAGCACCGTTCCTCGGCCCGGCGTGTGTCCGGCAGGGGGCACGGCCTCCAGCGCGACCTGGGCTGGAGACGGGTCATTCCCTGCCCAGGGTCCGCCCTCTCCTGCTCATTCCGCTGCCAGGCTGGGGTTCTAGAAAGGCCCCCTTATCAGTGGCCAGGGGACCTCGGGTTGGGGTGGATCACGTTGCAATGTAGCATTTGTGCTGATTTATCTGTGGTTGCCCCGTTTCCCCACGACGCCCCGTGGTCTCGCGTCCACCAGAAATGGGACTCCACGTCTCTGTGGACAGCGAAATGACTTCTGAAAATGTTAACTTATAAAGAGAAGCTGATTTTTATCTTTAGTTACTCACTCGGGAGTTTCCCTGGCGCTGCGTTCAGGGCCCTGTGACACGGAGGAACTCGAAGCCACGCCCACAGCCCCGCACACGACGTCAGCGGCACCCGGGCCGGCCCCCGGGGTATCCGAGGTGCGTCTTCGTGGAGACCCCCAAACGCAAGCCGTGAGCCGCTCTGCGTACGCGGGAGAGGTTCCCTCTCAGAGGAACCGCCGCTGTGTCCCCTCACGGCGCCTGCGCGTCCTGGCCGTCACCTTCCCGAACACGGTTGTCAGAGAAGGTGTTTGAACGGATACCGCCGGGGTGTGTGTGTGTGTGTGTGTGCGTGTAAAAAGGTGGGGAAGGCACGGAATGTGGGGCCCGCTTTTCCCACAGACGAGGACACCGGGGAGAGAGGTCAGTCCTGGCGGCCAGGTTTCAGGACCACTGTCCCTCACTCTCGGTGTCACCTGCGAGGGCTCTGGTCCCGGGGGCCAACCACGGCCTGGACACTGGACAGTGCCTGGGAAAGCCAGGTGTCTGACGGGGGCGGGGGGGGGAGAGAGAGAGAGAGAGAGACAGAGAGAGAGAGACAGAGGGAGACAGAGAGAGAGAGAGAGAGACAGAGAGAGAGACAGAGAGAGAGAGAGAGAGAGAGAGAGGGAGAGAGAGAGAGAGAACACATTCCCGTCACTTTCATCACTGTGTGTTGCTACAGCCGCTCCACTTTATTACTGCTGACTGTTGACCCCTTACTGCACCCGGTCTGTAACTCGACCTTTGCCATCGTTTTGAGCGTGTGGGAAGGACATCTGTTTATCCGGGACCCGAGTGGGGCGTGGGCCTCACGCAGGAAGGGATGCACGCTCGCGCCCGCACAGGGTCGGCGGTGGAAGCGAGTTTGGCAGAGGAGCAGGACACAGGGAGGGGGCCGCCCCTCAGGCCGGGCAGCCCCCTGTGGTGCACTTGCCTCCTTTGTGGAGGTTCATTTGTGGGGGGCTGGGGTACTCCCTGGGGGGAGGGACGTTCAGGGTCTTCCGGGAAACGGTGGGGACTTCTCAGGAGCTCCGTCCGCCTCCCGTGCGTGTGCCTCTGGGCTTGTCTCGTCTGACCGCTGCCGTGCGGGTGGGAGGGTGGCCGGTGTGTGTGTGTGTGTGTGTGTGTGTGTGTGTGTCTGTGTGTGCGCGTGTGTCTTCATCAGCACACTCGTGACCACAGTGAGCGTGTGACCACATCTCAGTGAAACTCGTCGCCATGTTGGATCGAGCTGGTCTCTGCCGGTTCTGAGCCGTAGATCCGGTGGGAGGGGGTCGTCCTGTCTTGGTGGCTGGGGTCTTGCTCCGCGTCCTGCCCCGATGAGGGGGCGGCTGGGGAGGTTGAACTGAAGACATGGTTATTCTAGAGAAAGACAGAGAATGCGTCCCCCTCTCACCCGGGCCATCGCAGCCGCTTCTGAAGGCTCGAGGACACTGGTTTTACCCCCGTGACGAGATGAACCAGAGTCTGACACAGCCCACATGGGATACGTGACATTCCCAGCGGAAGTTCCGGCCCGTGGGAATGTCTCAGGGCACTGAGTTCACACTGCAGTTTTAAAAAATAAGCCCACTATTCCACGAGAGGGTCGCAGGGTGTGGTCGCCAGCCGAGGCCTCAGGGCCCGCTTGGGGACCCGTCTGGGGACCCGTCTGGGGACCCGTCGGGACCGGCTGGCAGCCGCAGCGGGAGCCAGCCCCCCCCTCGGTCGGCCGAGGCTCAGCGCAGCCTGTGGGGGCGGCTGTGAGAGAACCCCGTCAGGCCCGAGTTCTCTCTGTGTCTCTCGCTCTCTTTTCCTAATTTGGACTTGTTTTGACGTACTCAGCTACCTGATGAATAGCGTTCTGGCCTTATTGTCTTCCCTCCGGGAAACATGCTTCTTTCTGTTCTTGCTGCTCCTCCTCTCAGCGGGAGAGGGACTTGCAGGGCCTGACACTCGCACTGTTACTGCCGTGCGTCCGTCACTGTGCTCTGCTGCACCTTTAATTTGGGGCTGAGAGCCGCCTGTTGCCGTAAAGGGGACCCAGTCCTTTGCGAAACCCGGCGCTTTCGTGGTGTCTGCCTTGAGAAACGCACGCTCCGGTTGCGAGGGAGGCCTCGCTGCTCAAACAGCGCCGGCGTGCGGCAGGGGTCTCGCTCGTGGGATTGAGGCAAGGTCCCCGGGCGCCTGGGTCTGCGGGGCGGCGTGGAGCAGGGGCCTCGCGTCTGAGCGGAGACGGACCTGCCGGTCCGGCCGAGCAGCCCGTCGGCACGGCATCTAACCCCCCCGTTTCCAGGCCCTTCTACGGTGACACCCCAGACTCTTGCCTTCACCCGGCCCTTGGGGGTTCCTGGGCGCGTCCTTATCTCCAGAAAGCGGGGATGAAGTGATAGGAGGGGTGCCTTCTGGCTCTGGGTCCCTGGACTCCGGTTCGCACCGCTGCACCGCGCCCTCAGACCTGGGGGCGGTGCCCGGGACGGCCGGGCGGGCGGTGGGCGGCAGGCGCCCCGTCAGGGCGCCCTGCAGTGTCTGGGTCACAGAGCACGGCTCGGGGCACCCGGCCGGTGTAAACCTCCCTCCTGCACATGGGGAACCAGGTGGGATTCGTCTGTGGATCTGCTCGTGTAGACGCCGACTGCGCGCAGAGGGCTGACGGGTGAGCGGGGACGCTGGTCGGTTCGGAGGGGCAGGAGTCGGCAGAGGGTGGTCTTCAGGCCCGAGCCTCTGACCAGACTGGGCCCCGGCGGTTCGGGGGCCCTTCTGTCCTCACGCCACGAAACGTGGTCTCCCCCACCGGGGGGCTCCCTCGGCGGCAGCAAACGCTTGCGTGGGGCATTTACGTTTAGCTCAGAGCCGTGAAGCCTACAGAGTCATATTAAAAAATACCACCAAACTGTCACAGTTTCTGGCCACAAGCAGAAAACATTTTTTTTTGACTCATTGCCGAAACACATGATAAAAACAAACTGACGACTAAGAAACCGAAGCCCCTAAGAAATCTGGATTTGTAAAGACACAGTAGGAATGGGAGAGATGGGGGAGTCGGGCCCCAGAGGCGCGTGGGGGCCGCCCAGGGGGGCCCGTGTGGTGTCCCTGACCTGGACCAGGACGCCTGCAGACGAGGCACCGTCTCACCCAGTGCCGACGGCAATAGCTGGGCCGGGCCAGGGCCCGGGAGCCGTGGTCTTTCTCGGTCACGGGCAGACCGGGTTTGCACGCATGCGTCGGACCCGACACTGTGGCCCCACAGACACCGGGGGGTGCCGTTGGGGCCGTGGCTGCGTCTCCTGCGCCTGCTGTGCTCGCCAGAGCAGTGACTCAGGGCAGGCGTGCCGTGGTCCCTGGGCTCAGCCGTGGGTGAGGACGTGTCACCATGCATGCGTACGGGGGTTCCCGTCTGTGTTTCAGAGAGCGGGTGGCGGCCCGGCGGCCCGGTCCCGGCCCTGCCCCTGCCCCCCAGGACCCTTCTCCGAGAAGGGCGGTGCGTTTCCTGCCCAGGTGCTGTGACCGGTCCCCGAAACAGGATGGACACCCTCCAGACACCACCGGGCGTCTACTGCTGCATAAATATCGGTCTGCACGTCAGGGCCATGTTCACGGTTGGAAAAATAAACGGTGAATTTTGAGTTCCATTTCACGAGGAGCTCTTGCTGACGAGGATGGCCCGGCGCTGGATCGTGGTCATTCTAAACGAGCCCTGGATGAATCGCTCTGGCCTGGGTCAGCAGACGCACCCCGAGGCCAGTCTGAGCAGACTGAAACGTGTGTTTCCTCGCGTGTGTGACCATGACGAGGGGGAACACCGGTGCCTGTGGCAGCCCCGGCCCCCCGGGGAGGAAGGGGCCCCTCCTGGCGTGCGTCACGGAGACTCGGGATTGCGCAGATGCTGCAGAGTCTCGTCACGCGTCACCCGGTGACGTGTGACGTGTGTCTCCCGGGTGTCGCCTGGGCTCCCGGTTCTGCTTTCTGGACGTGGGAGTCCAGCTGCGACCAGGGTTTTCATTTAGCATTTCATGCATGACATTCCGTTATTTGAAGTTTTTAACTTTAACTCATTAAACCGTCTCAGCACGGGTTTCCACGGTGACTCGTCACCCCCAGTGCGACCCGTGCCTCCAGATGACGCTGCGCGTCGGGTGTGAACGTGTCCCGTCCCAGTGAGGGCGCGGGAGCCGGAGCCTGTGCTGCAGGTGTCTGCACGCCCCGCGGTGCCGCGAGGCTCAGGAGGCCACCGTGACAGTTTTCAGACGGAGGAGCTGTGGCCTGGGGAGCACCCGAGGGTCTTACCTGCGTCCAGCCAGGTCCAGACGGTGGCAGGAGCGGGGCCCCCGAGCCGGTCCCCCGTCCCAGCTCAGGGCCTGTGGTCCCTGCAGAGACGGCGCCAGCTGGGGCCCCAGACGGCTCGGACCCTGTCCAACCAGACGGTGACAGAGCGCTGGGAGCTCACTAGGACGGAGGGAAGCACCTTTGCGACAACTGCCGGCGACTGAGGGAGAGCCCCACTGACCCGCTCCTTCTCTCCCCTTCCAGGTTCCGTCAGTGAAAAGCTGCCCCCCCGGGAAGGCACAGGAAGAACAGGTAACCCCCAGAACGGGTTTCCGTGGTGACAGGTCACGTCCGGTCCACCTGTGCCCTAAGTAACTTTGCGAGTTAAACGTGTCCCATGACGACACTCAGAGCTGAAGCAGTTCGCTGCCTGTTTCTTCATTCACAACCGCACATTCTCCAGGCAGGGTGCCGGGTGCCCCCCGGGCCCGCACTGGGGCTTCTCAGGCTGCATCGGGAGTGCCTGTTGGTGCCGTGAGGTGCCCCCCCAGTGCCACCCGGGGGGCACTGGGGTTCCATGTTTGGGCTGTTGCCCTGTGATCCCAGAGCAGAGCGACCACTGGGGGCCTCTTCCCGAGGAGTGGGGGGGGGGCAGCTGGCCCCACCCCTGGCTGCAGGTGCGCTGGGGCGGCCCCCGCGGGGGCCGGGCCCACCATCAGCCCCCTCCCCGGGGAAGCCCCCGCAGCCTGCCCTCACCTCCTATGGGTGACGGTCTCGGACCACCCTGTGGAGTCACAGGTTATTTTCAAGAGGAAATAAAAACACTGTTTTGGCACCAAAACCCCAGGCACTAATTTCTCTGATGTAGGTGGTCGTGTGTGAGACAGTGATTTTATTTATTTATTTATTTTTATTTTTTTTAAAGATTTTATTTATTTATTTTTAGAGAGGGAAGGGAGGGAGATAGAGAGAGAGAGAAACATCAATGTGCGGTTGCTGGGGGTTATGGCCTGCAACCCAGGCATGTGCCCTGACTGGGAATCGAACCTGCGACACTTTGGTTCGCAGCCCGCGCTCAATCCACTGAGCTACAGCAGCCAGGGCTGAGACAGTGATTTTAAAAAATGGGCCGGAGTTTCCTTCCCCAGGTCCCTTAGGTGTGTGCCTGACAACCCTGGTGGGCACGGCCCGGCCCTGGCAGGTCACGGGGGCTCTTTACAGAGGTTACGGTACAGAGACCGACACATGGACCAGTGCCAACCTGGGGGGCGCACCCGGCGGGGTGAGGGGGGAGCCGTGGGCGGCAGAGCCATGACCAGAGGCGTGTGTGAGTGGGCGGTGGGTTTGGTGTGGAACAGGAGACCCCACGGCTGGGGAGAGGGCCCCTTCATGGGTGACGCGCAGTGACGGCTGGTGCGTCAGAGCCTGGGCTGGGACTCAGGTCCCTAAGATCGGGGTGGGCACAGCCCCATGTTGTTTTAAAGAGGAGGAAGTGACGACGTTCCACCAGGAAAACCAATCAAATGCTGAAGGGAGGGGCAGACACCACCTTGGAGGGCGGCCCCCCCCCCCCCCCCCGCTCCTGGGGCTGCCCCCTGCCTCCTCGGTCGGTGGAAGGGAGTCTGGGGCGCTGGCCTGCAGGCGCAGGGAGGGAGGGACTTCGGGAAAGAGCACCCTGCTTCCACGGAGGCCCCAGCCCAGACACGGAGAGGAAGTGCTCGGAGATGGGCCACAGGGCGGGCATGTGGGTGGGGCCGAGAGGTCCCGCAGACCCCGGTGGGAGGGAGCGGAAGGGCGCAGCCCTGGCCTCTGGCTCCGCCTCCTCGAGGCTCGGCTGGCTCCCTGGGCGCCCTGGACGCCCTGGGGTGGGTGCACTGGGCGGGAGTATTCGTGGGGCCAGAGTGGGAGGTGGCCCAGGGAGAGTCACGCTGACGGCAGGGGTGGCCCCAGGCAGAAAGTGGGGGGGCGGGGAGGGGACGGCCCGGGGCACCTCACTTGCCACTTGCCCCCATCCTGTCCTCTGGGTCGGTGAGTGGCCTTCACTGGTGTGGTCCGCTCCGCTAGCGTTCACACGGACATGGCCCCATGACCCTGGGGGCGGGCGAGGCCCTGAGTGGCGACCTGCCCGGGCCCCCCGGCACGAACGCGAGGCCCTGGAAACGCGTCTGTCCTCGTTCCCAACGACCCCGGGGTCGGGGGGACCTTTTCTCAGGGTGCTCTTCTGAGGCTCTCAGTGTTTTAGGTGCGCCCCCCGTTTCATTCTGGCTTCTTGGGGGACTGTAAAACACGCGACAGCAAAACCCACAGTTGGTGGCTGCCGTCATTGTCAGGCTTGGCTGTTTCAAATAGACGACGTCGCACTTTGTCGGCGTTTTAGCGGAGAGCGAGTTGTTTGCAAGGGCTAGTTCGATGCTCAGGAGGTTTGGGAGACGTCTTTTTGGTTCTCCTTCGGAAAGAGGTCACGAGGAACTTGCTCTTGCTCCTCAGAGAGCAGGCGGAGTCGTAGGTCAGAGTTCGCAGCCACTGTTTGTCCTGTGTCAACCCTGAAATCGCCACAGGACAGACCACACCAGGAAGGGCGAGTGGGGGCCACCAGGCCGCGTCCTCGGGCTGCGTCTCGGGGCCCTCTAGAGCCTAGGCCTTAGACCTGGCCTGGAAACCCAGAGGGCACGTCGTGCTTGAGGAGTACGCGTCATCCGCGGGACGACCCCGAGTTGCTTCATGACCCACGCTCCCTCTCCGCCACTCCGGCCCCTGTCATTCCGCCCCTGCCTGCCCCTCCCCCACACTCAGGTCCCTCCCGGGGGTCAGTTTGTGGACAGAGGGGCCTCAGCTGTGCAGCACGCCCAGGGCAGCGGTCTCACCCCGGGCTCCCGCATCCCTGCCCTCCCGCCAGGACAGCGGGCACCGCGGGGGCACCTGGCCCCACTGCCCGCAGGGCCCACCGCCCACACGGCCGTCCTCCTTTGCCGGGTAGCGGCCTGAATCGGGCTGAGGTCGTCCCAGCGCTGGGTCCCTGGCTCACCCCGGTCCGTCCCTCCCTCCCTGTCCCGGGGCCGTGCTCGGCCCCCTGGGGACAGTGTCCCGGGCCCCCCACGGGCAGCGCGTGGAGGGGGCAGCCCCGAGCACGCGGTGCTGTCGCGCCGCGGCGGGCCCCTGTGCGTGCCCCGGGTGGGGGGTGCGCTAACCTGCGGGCCGTTTGCCAGCCCGCAGCCTCACCCGCATGCACACTTACTTAACCTACTCTCGTGATTGTAGTCTCCTTGCAAATGTTTTCCGTTCTGAATTCAGATGATGCCTCAGCCCCCGCGCTGGACACTCAGCCTCAAGGAGACGAAGAAGGTGAGCGGGGCGTGGGGGCAGGGGGCGGGGTGGGCGCGCCTGCGGACCGCCACGCTGCTGGGGCCTCGTGGCCCTCTCCCCGTGAGCCCCCCCCCCCGGTCCCTCCGTGGCCTTGTGGTGCCGCCACGTGCGCTTCTGCAGGGGCGGAGGGCCAGGGTGTGGTCTGTGATCAGACTCCGTGGGCGGAAGCTCTGTGACTCGGATCGCATAGAACAGCTGTTTCTGAAGCGCGAGCCGGCGTGTGCTGCCGCTCGGTCCACACGCCCCGCCTCTCGCTGGGGTGCACGGCTGCCACGTGCCGCCCGGCTGTGCCTCGTCACGCCACGAGGAGCGTCCCTCAGGGGCGCCGGCCTCGCGGCCACGTCGAGCTGGCATCCCCCTCTCAGGCTTCGGCGCCTGGTCTCGGGTGTTTGCGAACGTGTCACAGGTTTTCGGGTCACGGGGTGCGACGACGGAGGATGGGGCCTGCACGTGGCGCACGGGTCTGAGGCCGGCAGGCGGGGTCGCACCGCGTCGTGCCGACAGCAGCGATGAAAACGGCCGCAGCGGCAGCAGCGGATGGCGGCGCGGCCCCAAGAGCCCCCTTGGTCCTCGGGATCCCGCTGTGCGGGCGGGTGTGCCGAGGCAGGCGGCCCAGGGCCGCCAGGCCGCCGCCGCTGCTGGGCGAAGGGGGGTGGGGCTGGCTGGCCTGCTTCCCTGGGGGTCTCAGGCGTGCACTGTGGCCACCCCCCAACCTCCACACACACGTGCGGTGTGCCCATCTAAACAGTGCGACCGAGAACATGTGTTCCCGACACGGCTGGCGCGAACCTTCTCTCTCGCACGCCGGGCTCGGTGCTGGGGCCTCCGACCGCGTGGGAGCCCCGTGTTTGCATGGGTGTCCGTGTCCACCACAAGGGCGTTTCCCCACACAGGCTCTGCGCCGAAACCCACTTCTAGGCCCCCGCGGGGCTGTCTGGACTCACGCGACTTTTATTTACCCTTTCTGGTGCAGAAAGGAAAAAATACGCTGAGATTTGAAAACCATGTGTATTGTCACTTCTTATTGTCTTTTGTGCACAGCTGTCTGAACTATTTTTAAGTGCGTAGCACGTATCGTTTATTCTGTTGGCTCTTTCGGGTCTCAGGCTCCCGCCCGAAGGCTGTGAGAGGTTTTGTGTTCTGCTGACAAACTGAAAGTAACGCCGGTTCTCTTCTGCTCCGTCAGACATCGCCTCACGCTACCCCACGCTCTGGACCGAGCAGGTGAAGAGCCGGCAGAACAAGACCAACAAGCACGCAGGTAACAGCGCCGCCGGCTTCCTGCTCCCCGGCCCCGCGGGCAGCGCGGGCAGCGCCTCGGCCTCCAGCCGGCCGGGCACGCAGTTCTCGTGCGTGACCGGCCCCTGGAATGCGGTTCGGATCTGGGTGTTTTCAGTAGATTTTCTGCAGTCTTCAAAGGCTTCTCTGTATGTGCCGGGCGAACATCGTTTTAGATGAAAATGGAAATGCCAGTATTTGACAGTGAGTGTTTGTTTTCGACCTGACTTCAGTGATGTCCGAACACTCGACCAACTTAGTTCAAAGTCCTGGAAACTGAGTGCTGGCTTTGCCGCAAAGTGGCGTGGGAGGGCCGTTCTCCCTTTGAGGACGGCCTGCGGGGGTGCCGCCCTGGGGACAGGCGAGGGGCGCCGAGCCGCAGCTCCGGGACTCCCAGGCAGTCCCCTCCGCTCAGCGGCCCACCCGTGGCCTGCCGCCCCCGCGGCCTTCCGAAGGGGTCCCCCGGGATCAGCGCGACAAGGCGGCCACTCCAGGGCTGAAGAGCTCACACCGGGCTCTCCGAGGCCGGCCCGAGCGGGCAGGTGCCGACGTCCGCGGTGGGAAGCGGCCTCGGGGTGGAGCCTCCCCCCCCCACCGTGGGCACCTGCGTTCCTCCCACGTGCGTTCTTGATGCCCGTCGACGTGAGGCTCGGGCTCCCGGGTCGCGTGAGCGTTCAGGACTCGAGGAGCGGTCTGACTCGCGCGTCTCCGTCCTCTGCCCCTTCGTGCCCCCCCCCCCGAAGGGACCCCTCAGATGGCGCCCCAGTCTGGCCGTTTCGGCGGCTGCCTCGGGGCCCCGAGACCGGGGCCGTGTGGTGGTGATGTCTCCTCGTTTACTGCCACGTGGCGACGTGGTGGACCACCCGCGACGGGGCAGAGGTGGGGCTGGTGGGACAGGCCCGTGGGCTCTTCCCGCACGGTGTCTACCCCGTGACGCCCCTTCTCGCAGCTCCAACCCGTGCCCTGCCCACCCCGTGTCACCCTGGCCCTGCCCGGACTGGGCGAGCCCAGCACTGTCCTGGCCCCCTCTCCTGTGTGGACAGCCAACCAAGGGGAAGCCCCAGAGGTGTGCATGTGCACGTGTGTGTGAGTGTGTGCGAGTGTGTGCGAGTGTCAGGAAAACTTAAAACTTGTTGATGGGATGGCAGCTTTTTCGCAGAAATCGCTGCCGTCGGTGAGCTTTCCCGGCACCCAAGGGCCGGACCCGTGCACGTGCCTCTGCCGCGGACCTCGGGGGCCGAGCCGTTCGGTTCGGCCTTGCCACCACGCCTGCCGAGGTCCCCTTACGGGGTTTGCTCGTGCGCCCCAGCGGTCAGCGCACGGGAGGTCAGTCGGAACACTGCACGTCCCAGACTGGCCGCTGGGTCTCGGGCACGTCTCCGGGGACGGTCCCTGTGGCAGGGCCCCGGCTGATCTGAGAAACAAACGTGATACGTTGTGTGTGTGTGTGTGCCAGGTCTGGACAAGGGCATCGGCACCTTCTTTTAGATGTCAGGGGCCTTTAAGAAGGTTGTATTTGCTGTTGTAGATGGGGCGGGGGGGGGGGGTGGGGAGCAAGAAAGGGCGGGAAAGTTGAGCAGCCTTCCACCCGGCGGGCCGGCGCCCAGCCCACGGAGCTGTGCGCCCGGGCACCTGGCGCGTCTTTGCGGAGGTGGGTCTGGTCGTGGGCAGGCAGCTGCTCCGGGCGTGGACGGGCGGCCTGCGCTCTCCTGGGGCGAACATGCTTTCCCCGCTCCAGCCTCCCTGGTCGGCGCCGTGCTGTCAGGCCTGAGTGACCGTCGGCGGCGGCTAGCCCACGCGGGCGGTGCCGCCCCGCATGGTCAGTGGGCCCGAGGGTGCCATCTCAGAGGGCCCAGTTAGGTGAGCCACCCGGCGCCATCCCTTGGTTACCCCCCGACGAGGGGAGACAGAAGGGCGACGGCGAGCTGGGTTCCGGGCCCGGGGCGGGAGGCCGCCTGACCGGGTCTGTGCTCCGCACAGTGGTCCGGCCGCTGCTGCTCTCTGGGGTGCGGAGGAGTCACCCCTCGCCGGAGCTCCGGGATGTCAGAAACAGGGTCTAGTCTGTCAGGTTGGTTAGCCATGGAGTGGCAGGTAACGAAGGGTTTACGCAGTGACCACTGCAGTCACTGAGATTCCAGACGTCAGAAGAGAGGGATTTGCATTTCACTTTCATTGTTAAAAGGCACTCTTACTAATGATCTTTGGTCGAAGTGGACACGTTTATTGGGCAAAGAGTAGTTTGGCTTCTTTATTCTTCTGTGGCTGTAGAAAATCGTACTTGTCCATCAGTAAGTCACCTCTCAGATGACCCGGGCCCCTCCGCAGGTGCAGGTGCCCGGGCCCAGCAGGTGCCCACGGGGTCCGTCGTGTGAAAAGGGGTGGGGCAGGCTCGCGGCCGGCCTCCCCCATCCGCGGCTCCGGCCGAGGGTCAGAGGTGCGGCTCTCCACCTGCACTGGGGCGGACCCTCCGAGGGCAGCGGCGGACGTGGAGGGGACCATCCTCTCGTGCGTCCTCCTTCAGAAGAGGCCGCGCGGGGAGCCCCCTGCTTTCCTCTGGCGTTTCCTTTTGTCCGTTCGAAGGGCTGCTGTTCCCCCCCGGGCTTCCGCCAGGACGTCCACCACTGGGGTTTCACCAGACACACCGCCTGCGGCTGCCCAGCGGCGCCCACGTGGCGGGGACGCGGTCAGGTGCGCGAGGGTGTTTGGGGACAGTCTCAGAGGGGCCGTGTCCACAGGGGAAGGCCCAGCGCTCCTGTGGACGTGTGCACGCGGCCGGCTCTGGGGGAGCACCGCTCATGCACAGGTGTGGGGCCCAGCTCCCCCCCCCCCCGCTCTCGGGAACGGAGGCCCGAGGAAGCAGACAGCCCGAATGGAGGGGTAACTGGGAAAGGGGGGTGGCCCGACCCGAGGACCCCTGCCCTTCGCTGGAGGTTGGTAGGTTGCAGCTCAGCGTCAGTGTGAACGGAATGGCCTCCTGTTGGTTCATCAGGAGGAAAGCGTCGCTTTCATCATCTGAGTCAAGGTGCCTCGGATGAGTGAGGAGAATCCGAAATGGCCTGTTATTTAAGGATGCACTACTCAGTTTTTCATATATGCACATACATGTGTGTACATGTGCATATACTTACCTTCTTGAACCGTCACATTCAGTTTCGTTTCTGTATTCACGGAGGATACAAGAGTTGCTTACACTTCACCAGGCAGGAGGTTTTGTGACACGCTGTCTTGTCAGTAGGGCGTCGTGCTGTGGCCTCCGAGACGGCGTCCCCGACTGTCCCCGTCCCCCCTTCGCGGCGCGCACAGTTGGGTGACTTTGCCAGGTGGCAAGTCTTCCTTGCTTCAGCGTCAGCGTTAATTTTAGGTGCTTCTCCAGGTCCCTTTCTCCAGACGGTTTTGCCAAAGCAAATAAAACTTGAGTGCTGCGAAGAAACAGATCGCCCGCTAAGACTTTTTTTATTTCATTTTATTTTTACAGCCAAGGACACGACTGTGATTATTTTAGCAACTGATGACTGCTCTCTGCCCCCAGCTCAGGTCGCATTTGGCCCCACGACACCCGAGCCGCCCACGTGCGACCCCGAGGGCGGCGCCGTCTGGTGCGAGGGGGAGCCTGCGAGGGAGCGTGAGCCCACGCCCTGAGCACCCCTCGCTCTCCCCTCCCTCAGTCTGGGACGAAAGGGGCGGCGGTGCTCGGGGTGTGAACGACTCTTGTTCACCCTCCGTGCGGAGCCCCTCCTGCCCTGCTGGTCCTGGGCGCGGTCCCACACGTGGGGGGCCAGCCCCCTCCTCCGGTTCCCAGGGGAGGACGGGAGCCCGGACAGGGCCCCAGGCAGCCGGGTCCCCCGCTGGACTGCTGCGGGTCCCCGTGGCCTGGGGGGGGGGCGGGGCGGGGCGGGGCGGCCAGCTCTGCGCGTCCGGTCAGGTGTGTGCCGCTGTCTCCTGAGTCTGGAGACACTGAGGGAACTCTGGACGCGCGGGAGTGGCCCGGTCGCCGCCCCTCCCAGGGCCCCCGTGTCTGTGACGTGGGGCTGACCCTGCCCTGCCGGCTGAGCGGACGCCGGCCCGGGCCTGCGGCCTGGCGTGTGCCGCCCCTCGGGCTGCTGACTCCAGACCTGAGGCCGGCGGCAGAGCGGGCCTGCCCCCCCGTCGCTGCACGGGGCTGGTCCAGAATCTGCGTGGGGCCCAGGCGGGGGCCCCCTCTCAAAGCGCGTGTGGCTGGGCTGTACACCCCAGGACCCATGCGGGTGCCCCGCCTGGGGCCCCTCAAACAGAGGCCCCGGCTCTGTCAGCCCTGAGAGCCCCCGGCCCACCCACCCCACCCCACACCCTGCCTTCCTGGTAAAAGTGTTCCCCACCCCCACCCCCGCCCGGCGGACGCCCTGTGCCTCCTGCTCACGATGCTGCTGCGCTTCTCTGCTCCCTGCGGAGCCGGTGGGGTTTGTGCGTTAGTGCGCGTTGGGGTCCGCGCCGGACGATGGCCGTCTCCTGCGTCTGCTCTAGTCGTGGCCGCCCGCACTCCCTGGGGGACAGTCAGACCAGCTGTTTCCTCTGTCTGCGTGCGACTTCTAAAGTAGTCCCCCCGTGTTTTCAGTCTCAGTTTTTAAGTGCAGGATTGCAAACGCATCTGGATCCCAACCAGACCCTTATGTTGTGAAGTTTGGGTCATTTGAAGAGGTGAAAATACTTAAAACTAACTGGAACAGCTCCTCTCAGCGTGGACTGCCGGGCGCAGTCCAGCCGTGGACGCTGGGTGGGTGGTGCTGGGGGCGGGGCCAAGGTGTGCGGAGAGCGGGGGCCAGAGGCCACGGGTGAGCAGCCGCTGCCCGCAGGGAGACGTGGCCGGCGCAGGGTCTCGGCCGAGGCCCCTTCGGGACGCCCGGAGGAGCCGGTCACGGGCCGCTCCCCTCTCTCCCACCAGGTGGACATCCAGGTCTTAGCTGGACGGAAGCCTCCCTTCGCTGCCTCCTCCGCCGGCAGGGGTCT